ATATATATATATATATATATATATGAAGGTGGTGACGGCGAAGTTGATAAAAGTGTTGAAAAGGTAAAGACCCTGCCAAGACTTATTTATTTCGGACATCAACGAGGTGTCCACTTAGTTCTGTAATGAGGAGTCGCTCACGTAATTTCGCTTGTTCTTCCTTGGCAGGTCAAGGACTATAAGCATCTGCGCCTGGAGGACTTAACCAGCAAACCAGAGTCTGATGGAGAGGATTACCACTCAGATGGTGGCTACTCTGATTATATCAATTCCGGCGCCGGGTCTTCAGATGAGGATAAAGGTATGCTCCTGTTAATTATTTTGAATTATTCCCATGGACCAGGGAGTTGTTTCATGCGTTTGTTCCCACTGGTGTTGCTATAACTACTAATGATGATGGGGATATTTAAATGGACATCAGTGACCAAGTGATATTTTACCTCCGTTCTAGAGTCCTTCAATGATATTACTCGAGATCCCTCAGTGGTTAAGGCCTTGGACCTCCTACTCAAGGGATCCATGGTTGGAAATCAACTTCACCGTCGCGACTGCCACTATCTGGTCTTCGGCAATCCGGCAGTATCTTAGACCTCGTGCTTCCTTCCTTCGGCAAAAGGTGTAACAGCTGGACGATGATTATTTTTGCCATTATTACTGTATTCGTTAATGGTAGTGCCCGCAGTGAGCAATCCCACAGCTCAGAGACCCAAGCTGTAAGTCATTTAACTCGGGCACTGTGTACTTGTACGAGCAAGTACATACCGTAGCTTGTTAGCTCGTTCTCGCCACTGGAACAGGTCTAGTTTCTAGTTGTCAACTCGTTTAGATGACATTGTTGTTCACTTTGTGTTTTTGTCACTTTTCCGAATCTCAGGTGGCCCGTATCCATGTTCTGCTTGCACCAAAATATTCAATTCGCGGGCGGGTCTCACTCGACATCGGACGGTCGCTCATGGCTCGAATCAAGGCAAGCCCCGTACAGTCAATCCGTATGTGGCAGCAATGAGACGCCGAACGAAGCTAAGAGAGGTGAGTAGGCAGACCTAAGCACCTTTGTTTTGCTCTCAAGCTCCTCAAAACAGAATGAATGTATCTTTCAGGGGACGATTATATTCTACACCTGGTAATGTCAAGCGATTCCTTATATTTTTTTGTATAGTTTACACTCCGCTGCTGGAACACCTTTAATAATTTTCTCTTGAGGTCCTTATGTGCTCGTCCCCTGAGGCGCGTGTGTACACGTTCCCTGTGATAGAAACGGAACGTGGCCGTTTGCGTGCTTCTGATATCTCGGGGACCGAAATGCTTTCCGGGCGTTTGCCCACAGATACTGAGTGTGAGCACGTTAGTGTTATCCTTCAATGATGCAAACAATCTTAAATAACCTATATACTTCTACCGTACGATTTGGTGCGCGCTTAACGCTTGTAAAGTTTGAAGTGCTGTTACACGATCAGACTCAAACTTCATGCTTTCCGACCAGTCAGCCGACGTCGTAGATGAAAGTGCTTACCTGGGCAGTTGTATAAGTTCTGGTGGACTGGCTGGAGACGAGATTACTTCCCTAATCGGGAAGGCGGGACAAATTTCTACCGGACTCCGATATCTATGACCCCTGCCTGATGTCAGTTTGTCTGTCAAAGGCTGAGTTTACACTGCAGCGGTGCGATCCATACTGCTTTGCGGATCAGAAACCTGACCTTTACACACAGAGGAAAGTTGCCAGTGTTTGATTAGTCGGGTTAACTAATCTGAGGGGCATCAGGTGGTTGTAACTCTGTGGCGATAGATGAACCACTCGCACTTCATAGGTTACGCTGGTTAGGACGTGTGCTTCGCATGCTGGAAGACCGTTTGCCTTGCAGAGCACTTATCGCTCAGCTCTGTGCTGATTGAAGGCGACTGACATGTGGACAATGTATGATCTGGCAACTAAGCATGGAAACACTAATCAGTAAACTCCGTCGGGTTGACAACTGCCGCCTCCCCCTGGATGGGGACCTCGGAACTCAACTCATCATTGATTAATGACACCAGTAGACTTAGCTCAATCGCGCAGTCAGTGGCGCTCATGCATCAAGGCTATCGCCTTCAATTAGTGGCTGCTCAGTTCCCTAAGTAACTGAACTTGCCGTCACCAACGCTTGGCTGCATCTCCCATTTTCCGGGGATCCAAGCTGTAACAGATGGAACCAACATACCTTGTTATATGGTTTACAACTGATAAACTGAGCGGACCTGAATTGGGGCAGTTTGCTCAACCTAGTAACCCTTAATACTAGAATAGCAGTGTTACGGCAGTGAAGCATCGGTGTTGAACACTGATGTCATGCTGTCGATGATGATGATGATGATGATCATGATGATGATGATGAGAATGGTAGTGTCACTTGATTTATTTGAGCATAAAGTTAGGATCCAACATTATTCTTGTGACACTACTTCTTAACGAGATCCTCTAATCACGTAATACTGCGAGGTTCCAGATTTCGGTGATCGAGTATAAGGTGTGTTTTCAAGACTTGCAAAATATCGGTTCAGATTATTTACTGACAATCTGTCGGCAAATGGGTAACCTGATGGGCCTCTGTGAATCGGTATTCTACGCAATAGTGCATGCTGACTCTTCGGATGAGGTGGTTACCTAGTATCTGATGAGAAGGATTGGGCGACGTTTTCACTTGGGTGTTTTCCCTCCTATCATGCAACTCATATTTGTATCCATCTCCAAAATGCTTCTCACCGCAGACTTGGCCAAACACACTACTCTGTAATAAGAACCACAAGGCCAGGACCGAGGAAATCACAGATAACGATAACAATTCGCCTAAAAATTTGCTTGCGGGATAATGAAGAGATATTTCACTAACCACCGTCTGCAGTAATTCTCAGGATTTCTGAGGGTGATGTCCATTGGCTTGATGTTCCATCAAAAGGCACGGTAGCTCGAGACAGCCCGTAATGACGCAAAAGTAGATTACTGCAACTGCTTTTACAAAGCAATCAAGTAATTGGCTGTTGCCTAATTCAGACGACCATCTGACGATTGGTTGCTCATCTGAACGTTTCACCTGATTATCAAACGATCCTCACGGAGGACCCTAGAACTACCAATCCATATGTTTGGAATTTCCAGCAATCGGTCACAGATTTACATCTCTGCAAGGTCATGCTAAAATTCTTACGACTTAGCCAGGAACGCCTAACCGTGTTTGGTGTTCTGTCCAACCTTGGTCCGCCCCCGTAGCCAGTGCACGATGCACCCGATCAATGCGATGTTCGGTTATTGTGAGTGGTGTGTATCGACGTAGGAGACAAAGGTCCCTCGAAAGCGACTCCAAATGCTGAGGAGCGAAGTATGGTATCCTAATGTACACCATAAATAGGCATTTTACTTTCATCCTGGACGGTGTGTTTTTTGAACGTCGGGTTTTGACCGCATGTAGGCTTCTCGAAATCGAAGCAGCCTAAAATCCCCTTAAGATTGATAGGAGGGGATAGCTGGCCCTGAAAAAGCGCAAGGCCTGGAGAGATAATAATGAGCCTGAATTTAGGTTAGGGTTGTACGGCACACAGAATAACCGAAAGCCAATCCGAGACCGAAAAATTTCTGTATATCCGCTGGATGCATTGCCCTGTTGTTTTCTCGTTTCCTGTCCTTCCGGTATCGAGTGTCTGCAGCTGGAGGTGTCAAGCTTCGTTCTAACCTGTCTGAGCGGAATCTCCCTCCTGCCTTGTGTGATTTACCGATATTTCAGTTCGCATACTGTGCCCCTTTCAGGCAGTGTCTCAAGCGACTGATGACGAGCTCATCGAATTTGCTGCTCCTCGGCTTTCCAAGTTGCTCGATCCTTGGGACCATCTGCTATTGCGAAGTGTAGATGGAAACCCATTGTCCCCTCAGCTTCCCCGTGTGGTACTGGACTATTTGAGTCTAGTTGAGCGAGCGCGCGCATTCCTTGTTGCCCATTTGGATCTCTGGACACCAAACGTGGCCGAAAGCCGTCCACGAGAATGCGAACAAGCGTCAAACGATCAAGAACAAGAGCAGACGTTAGAACCAGAAGAGCAACGACAACAACGAAACGGAGGTCTGGCATTGGAACGACACCAGCAGGAAACTGTCGAGCAGACGGCTGTCGTCTGCCCACTACCGTCTGAAACGACCGAAAACCACGAAGGTGGCACGCTGGACGAAGTTTTACCTCGTGAGTTTTGGCATGCGGTTATGGTGTCAGTGCTCCTGTGTGAAAAATGCCTCTGGGACACACTGGGGATCCGCTGGTTCTCTTGTCTAACCCATCTTTGTGCATCAGGACAATTAAATTTTAGATGTATTCCAATGTTCTCATTATTTTTGTAATTGTATGATAGAGTTTTTGTTTTCTAATCACAAAGTGTTTCGGATATTGAATATGGAGTTACAGTGCCATGATAAAGTCACTTGTACTAGCCTATGCCAGCCAGGTCATTACGACCAATTATTTTTTGTCTCAGTTATCTACACTTTTGCATAATTAATAATTGATTTACCATATTTTACCCCCACGGGCGAGGTGGACAAAATGGCTAGAGCGCGAATTTACTGACCGGAAAGTTCGTGGTTTGAACCCGACCTCTGCCTCTCGACTTCCCCTGTCTAGGCTTGGGCGACCTGGCAGTATCCCAGCCCTCGTGCTCCCTTCGTGCGGCATGGCAGCTAGGCACCGAAAGGGTGCCACAGCTGGATGATTTATTTTGATTTATTTATTTTATTTTGCCCTCACTCGTAGTCAAGTGACCATCACCTGTCTGTTAGCTGTTAGTTGGTGGCGAAGTTACCACGGACTGATCTTTTTGCGTGTGGGTACTTAATAATGGTTTGAGCAAGTTTTACGACTCACTAATGGTAAGGCTAATCCGGATGTTGTATGGTTAAAGGTAACCATAGAATAACCACGATTACATCCAGGAAACTCGTGACTACATCACGGTTCAGTAAGTTCCAAGTATGTATGGTTCATTGGTGTTCAATCGTGTTCTGCCCAGCGAATTTGAAGAAGCCGAGGTCTCAAGAGTGTGCGGGTGAAAGGAGGGAAACCCTTCGCCGAGTAGTTGTTTATTCGAAAACACCAACTAAACAGCAGCAAACTATTGGACTGAAAAGTAAACCTCTCACCTGCACCTTGTTTTTAAAAAAATCTGAATATCCATCTTCTTCTTGAACGCATCTTCTTGAGTTTTTCTGGGTATTCATTGACTATCACGTAATTGTAAATGAATGCTCAAAAGCAGTTCCGCAAATTCCGTAATAAACCCCACCTTCCGTTTGAGGCGAAGTGGACTTACGAGCAAACCATATGCTACTCGCATACCTTATCAGTAGTATCCGCCGTTACACAGGTACTGTACGTAGATAAATATATTTCTCCATAGAATTGTGTCTCATTAGTCACCTGTTTTTTGACTTTACGAAGTTTCCATCAGCCGACTGAGTTGTTGGGCTCATGTTTTCTAAAATTAAAAGTGAAAAGTGAGATAAGAAGGTATCTTCTGTGAGTACCTCCTACAGGGCGCTGCGGTGAGGCCGGTCGAATACGGTCACTCTATCGAAGTTGAAGCTGACATCATGGACAGTGAAAGCGGCGCGGAACCATAATGCTCTACTTCTCTGAATTTTTATACGAATGATCAGAAACCGTTGCCTTAGATAATGGTGCGCTGTGCCAGCATATGTCGGAAAATGTTCATGTTCTGATTGATACTTTTTGTGACCCTAGATTTCCAAAAGTCACCTCATCTTCGGACAAGGGGCAGCCAGAAATAGGTAATCGAAAACTAAGCGACCACGCTATGAGCAAGTTTTGGTTCTGGATATCCGCTGGCGAACATCTTTGTGGTATAGGAAGGTCGCTGCACCACCGTCGCTGTTTTTTCAACAGGAGTTAAACGTCACCGAATATGGGAAGCCTGTTTGAGTAACTTGTTGCGAATCCGGAAGTTTAGCGGGAGAATCCGCATATGACACCGGAAGCACAGGGTCTCCGCGATTGTCTTCTTTAAGCAGTCACACCAACTTCCTGTACTTTTTGCGTACTGAGGCTTTTCAATTATAAGCGGCGAGGTTTTTCACCCAGTTCCAGCCTCAATATGCTCAGCTCGTCTTTTGTTCGCAAATAGCGTAATAGTGTAGCAAATACACCGGACATTAATCAGTGAGTCGACCTTTCGCGATAACATTTCCAAGAGCTGGGGGAGAGAAGCATAACGAGGTGCGTTATGTATTGACAAGCCGTGTGCAACCAGCATAGGATAAAAAATCATTCAGCTGTAGCTCCCTTCCGGTTTCCAACTGCCGTGCCACCCGAAGGCAGAACGTGGGCTGGGATGCTGCCAGGTTGCCCAAGTCTAAGACAGCGGAAGTCGAGATGTAGAGGTCTGATTCGAACCACAGACCTTTCGGTCAGTAAATCCGCGCCCTAACTACGGAGCCATCTCGCCATCTCGCATAGGACATACTGACATTGTTGGCCCACCCGGTCGAATGTGTCAGCCAAGTAAGAACGGGCTGCAAGGTCAACTGTGGCAGGCGTGATCGATTCAGAGGTGCCTAGTATATCGCATCGAAGTGTGCTTTTCGTCGATAATATGACTTATTTCGGTCAGATGTGACGTGATTGCACTTGAGTGCGGCTTTTTTCACCCACCACCCAAGACATGGGGTTGTGTTCTCGTATTCTATCCCATAAATGCCTTGTCGTGAGAACTCAATGTGATACTCACCAACAGCTTACAAATGAGTTCGCACACAAGCTGATAGCAGATGAGGGCAATTTGGCTTTCAAATGGAACATGATAATGATGCTGGAACTGTTTGAGGCCGGAGAAGAGTCACTCTTCAAAACACTGTTGGCGTATACCACACAGAAACCTAATCAGTCCAACAGCACGACACTGGGCAATCACCTATGCAACGAATGTGGCACGATCCGAGAGAACAATCACAAACTGCGGTATCCTTTCGGCACATGTAACTCGATGGAAGCACAAAGAATGACTTAGTGACAGGTTGCCCAAGCCTAGACAAGACTAATGGCAAACCAAGGCTTGTGCTCGAGCTGTGTACCTCTTACTCAGTGGCTCGCATCTTGAACTCTGAGCATTATTGAGCTCAGCTTGTGCGGTGATTAATAGTGGGCGATTGCCTTATGGAACCATTAGACCGATTGCTACCGGCTCCTGGGTCATCATCCTCATCTACAGATCATCGATGTTCAACACTGATGCCTTGCTGCTACACTTGGGCGAAACACACCTATTCACTTATACAATCCTGTTTGGCTATGTTTTGTATGCTTGACAGTTTAATTATATACTGTAGTGTGTTGTCTTAAGGACTCTTCGATTCTCCCATCAACGTACGATTCTCTGATCTTTTCCAGAAGAAAGTACCGCTGACGAGGTTGCCATCATTCCGGAACTTGTTGATGGGGTGGCAGAAAATCCTTCGGAAGTTGAACCTACCACCGTGCCTACGAAACCTTCAGCCCAGTCGGAAGCGGAAGGGGCCGTGCCTGATGGGCCTACTCAAAATGGTCGTCCCGATAGTCCGAACGAAAATAGTTTGGATGAATCAAGACGCGTGCTGGAGCGAAACGAGGAAGAAGAGGACGAGGACGAAGATGTTGATGATGGACAAGCAATAATTGTCAAGGTAATACAGAGGTAGCCTCATGGGTTTGAGGGTAAATTCTCATGGTTTGTGATGTCGGTTACATAACAGCGACGAAAACGGAACTCGACACAAAGGAGCTCACATGTTGTCCTCCATCTGATGAACATGGGCGTTAGACAAACTTTCATCTTCCTCATGCAAGAGTAGCTCTCACTATCGTTTGGGGAGTACCAACTCTCGACCCGTTGAGAGTATTGCGGAATTCAGCACCTCGAACTGGGTTAGGTTACTCATCTTCTTCTCTTGTAGCTACAGTGACAGGACATCTGATTGAAAATGGCCCAAGCACAAAATATTTTACGATACACAAGTTTGTGGGAATCCTTATGAAATGATTTTTCCCAATTGCGATCTTTTTCAGTGTTTCGTGCAACAAACAATTTTGTTTTTCAGTTCAAACTACTCGTGAGTAGCCCCACTGGATTGTGCGAGCTGCACTGCACTGGTTCCAAGTTTAATCACCTAGGATTCATTTGAAATCGTACGGACCGGAGTCTACTAGGCTTTCTAGACTCTCTTCCACTGAGTTCTTCTGCCAGAGATGGTATCCTACACCCATATGGGATTTCGAGTTCCTCGTTTTGAGCATGACAGTAAACAACAGTACAGGACATTCGGACTGTGTGGTACCCTTTTGGATATCGCATCAGCAGCCTTGGAACATATGGCTTCTGTTCCTATTCGGTTCTTGGGAGACTTATTTCTTCAGTGGAGATGATTTAATACCGCTGAAATAGTCCCTTCACTGGAAGTGTTTCCTCTTGGACGGGTCCCCTAACACAACGGACGTTTTCGTTCTCGAATAGCCCTACAACGTGTTGACGCCAAAAACACCTTCCAGAAACCAAGCCCAACCTCCAGCCATCTTACTCCTTTTTATTTTTTGCGTAGTCAAGACAGGCCGGGATATACATCACCGCTTGGACTGTTCAGAATAAAGTTCACTAATTTCCGGAATCAGAGGCGAGTAAACTCGTTTGGACAATAGGTATACAGGCTCACCGGTTTTTTCAGTACGTTATACCTTTTCTCTCAAAAGGGTTGCGTGAGAAAAACGGTCGTAATGGGAAGTTGCGGTAAAACAACATATAGGGAAACCGTGGATAAACTTATTTACCACGGATGTGGTGTCAGAAATGGGACGTCCTCGTTAAAAAGAGTTGTCTCACACGGGTTGGCTTCCCCGAGACATGTTCTCGTGGACTTACATCAATGTGGTAGGTTTACACTTTGACTCCGCCACTATCACATTCCAGCTATCCGCACTGCCAGTGTAGAGACTGTTCACCACACATAGAGCGCTGAACTCATCGCTGAAGACATAACCGAGAATGGACACCGATCAAACAATATCGAATTGGTTTGGTGGATAGCACACTAGCTTACAGCCCGAGGATCCCCGCTCGGTCCGTTTTTCCGCCAGAGCGGGCGCTGGAAGATAGGTAGAGCTGATACGAGCTTGCAGGTAAAGACGGATGGGCAACAAAATAGTGACATCAGTTAATAGAGAATAAGCATACCTCTAGTAGGAGCGAAAACCGGAGAAGCAGGCAGAATAGTTAGAGCTGATACGAACTTGCAGGTAAAGACGGACGGGTAACAAAATAGTGATCTCAGTTAATAGAGAATAAACAGACCTCAAGTAGGAGCGAAAACCGGAGAAGCAGGCAGCAAGGAAACAAAACTGCGTTATAATGAACGGGCGTAAACCACGCTACTCATGAGTAGTCAGAACACAAAAGGAAAATAACCGCAGGTTACTGTTGATTCACATGAGGAATCAACAAGTATTATTATATGTATATTATATTGTATCTAGGCTATCGTATTTTCCGTGAACACCGCATGTTTATACCTCGGCTTCAGATTGATACGGAGGAACAGTCCAACATCCTCGGTCTTCCTTGTGGGAAGTATGTTGTCAAAGATCCACTGTGTGAAGACTACCTTTCAAGGCGCTTCCGCTCCATATTAGCCGCTCAGCGAGCCGCCGCTATGTCTGCAGTAGAGGCCGAAGAAGAAAAATCAGAACAGCCCGAAGATCGCCCAACGGTTTCTGTGGAGGCCGCAGATGATACTGAAGTGGATGCAACTCTTCGTGAAGACATCCAGCCCGCCATAGAAAGTGAGGAGGCCTACCAGACCAACGTGAATACGACAAATGACGAAGAACCTCAAGGCGTGGTAGCATTGGGCGACGAACTAGTGAGTTTTTTTCATACTATATGGCCCTTATCCATCCAGTCCATGCTCGCTGCACCAGCATTTCTTTTATCCCTATCTCATAGGTCTTGGTACCCGAAGGTGGATTAGGTGGCCCAGTGCCAGAAGAATGGCTGACCAGTGGAGCCTTCCTCGCCGTTCTTACAGAGGCGGGAGAACTATGTGACCTTGTGATGGAGGCCGCTACTGGGCGTTTGTTCCATCGGCCCACGGGACATCTGGTCAGTTTAGCGGATGGTAGCGCTGTCAGTACACAACAAGAACCGGAAGTGCAAGCAGTCGCAACACTGCCAGACTACGGTGCCTATGAGGACGAACAACCAAGCGCCACTGCCATTCCCCAACGATCTGTGGCGCAGGACACTCGGCCTGCTGCGAAGGTTCCCAGTCCCCCGAAACCAAAGGGACGATCGAAAGCGAAACAAACGCTTCAAGAACAACGTGATCCTGGGGAGTTTGATACCGCAGCTTCGGAGCAAGAACAACTTCTACAGCGCCTGGCGGAGACCGGTGAAGTAATAGACCTCAATACATTGTTTCCGGGGGTTTCTGTGACTGAAGTCTCCCCGGGAGTTTGTCTTGTGACCAAGCCCAACGGTGACCGATTTAACGTGAGTATGCATACTGGTGTTGTGGTCTTTCGAGTTTCGTTTATTTGCTGTTTTTCTAACCTCTCGACGAATATTTTTTTCACGGTTTAGTAAAAGTCGAGTGCATTCGCTTTGGCGACTGATTGTTAGCCTGAGTTAAGTTCATAACGATCATTTCGCATAGGTGTATAACAGTTCCGCCGAACAGAAATTGTTCAATAATGGTCATATTTAGAAACACTCGGGGGAATTACTCTTACACACACATGCACCTGGCTACTTCACAATTATACGTTGAAGTATGGAAGCTAGCCTAGTAACACAAACCCTCACTCCAGGGTGCTTCGAGACACTGGCCACCTCTCTGTGAAGATTACTCTTCTCCGCCCACGGAAACACCTTAGTATTGAAGGATCGAATTTGGACCGGCCATCAGTCCACGACCACCACCTCAAAAGTAATCACAAAGTGACGTTTGAGTAAATGGTGGTGCTTGAAAGTTCACAAAATCACTGCTGAGGTCAACGAACCTTTTCACATTTATTTGTGTTAGAGAAAGGGTTCATCCAACTTGAACAACATTTTGTTCACTTGGTTTGTGATTTTAAAAGGTTCTATTCTGCACGGTTTAACCCGATGCTCACGGACCGTGCTCCGCAAGTACACGTGAAGGTTCAAGCCCAATAGTAGTACGTCCAAGTACAATATGCGGCACCGCTTTTAGCCAGTCAGAAGTGTTGTCCGTTCAGCTTGGGTATTTCACAGTACCTTCAAATCACTTTTATCTTCAGGATTGTCCACTGAACCAGGTGAATATTTGTGTAGGTGTCGACCTAAAGCTGTCACCTTGTGGTGATCGGGCCCTTGCGCTGCAATGGTTTTGTGGGCTATATTGGCTGGAACTTACTTCTTGAAGGTTCAACCATGCTAGGGTGGTCAACGGGGAGCAGCCCGACGAAGAACAGCGGGTCCATGTATTGCGAACAATCGTATTACGATGCGGTCCTGAGGTACAGTCGTGCTGTCTCCCGCAATAGGGGTGTAAAGGAAGTAAGGCTTTTGCCTCAGGCGACCAGTATGTCCATATTTGCGGAATCAGCGATGCTGTCTTCCCCCGAGGAAGGACCCCATATTTGCGGAAGCAGCGATGCTTTCTTCCCCGGAGGAAGGACGGGTTAGAAAAGGTCGGCCCTAAAAAACCGCACACTCCGATCACCGGACGGTCTACCGTAACCGTCGGCGCATTGTTCAGTACGTTCGAAATTCTTTTAACGCCAAAGAGTATTATACTGTTGTGCGGATGTGCGCAGCCGCATTGAGAGTTAGACAGTAATGCCATACTCCTCGGGTCAGGTCAGCGCCCTGGAACCAAGTGGTTCAGACTATTGAGTCATTGGCTCCGGAGATGATCCTTCAAGAAAACGCTAACAACCGCTGCCGCCTGATGCAAATTTTGAATCAGAAGTGAGAATGAGGACCCGCGAACAAAACTCTACATCCTCTCGTTTCTTTGTGGATCGAACTTTTAAGTGAAAGACTCAAAGTGGGCGCCTCAAACAACCCTCTTCTTCGGCCTGGGCAACCAGGAGGTATCATTCGCTCTAGAAGCTCTTCGCTCACCGGTCTGATTACCCCCTCATCACCCATGAAATGATTCAGTGCCACCAGTCCATCTGCCACTCCCCTAATCATTGTTCGGTGTTTAAGCCATCGCGCAGAAAAACAAACCAAAATGATCACTTCATAAGGTCAAGCGATCTGATCCACGTTGCAGCCCTTCATGTCCGTACTCGGTTTCGAATCGGGCAACAGGCAACAGGTGCTGAGACTTTGCTCCCTCCAAAACACGCATACAAGACCCCACTTCAGTCGTTCACTCTAAGCCGTTTAGGATGAGCTTAGATGTTCCATATTTCAGTCTTCGGGTATCTGGTTGTCCTAACACAACAGCTCGTGGTATCTACGGTGTGGGAGTTCCACTCAGTCCCAAGGCTGAAGGCGCCTTGCTGGACTGGATCTCAGTAAACGGTCGTCTTCACGCTGTGCGGTTATCTGGCTCAATTAAGATTAACGCTGGTCGATGCGGTAACCGGTGTTTGTTTGTCGTATCAGCATGCGCCCCAAGAGATAGCAGTTCTGAGACTGAGAAGGAGAGTGTTATCGTGATCTGTCACGACTGATTCGGTCAACAAGAAGGACGGATATAGTAATCTTGGTGGGTGATATGAATGCCCAAGTTGAACGATCAAGTCCGGAAGAAGCACAGGTAGGTGGTCGATGCTGAGCGTATGGATAATAGGGAGCGACTGTAATTCACTCCCTCGAAATCACGGCTTTGGTAGAGGTGTTCGAGCAGAGCACATAGTAGTTGTACTCCGCTGTCCATGCTTACTTACCTCACTTCGGCCAGTGGTCTGTCTGGTTTCAGGTGGGTGTGCGCTCGCAAATCGAAGCAATATGACTTAACAAGAGTGACTTTCAGTGTATGCGGTACCAATGAACACTATGCCAGCTAAAGGAATACATTTGTGCATCACATTCAGTTGAGTACCCCGTTCACACCAATGCAAATTGTAAACGAGCGCATTTCGATAGTGTGTTCTATTTTGGAGGTCGCCAAACTCGTTGGTTAATCGTCTGCTACTCACCGTAGCGCACTCTTACCTGTCGCAAACCTCACATGGGAACTGATGGTCTATGCTGACGGAAATTAATGCTCCTAACCTCCGTCATGTGCCACAATGTGCTCCAATGGACTTTGAGCACTTTGTGAGAGAGTAAGAGACGGATGGATAGGCACGGTGTCGCTCAATAAACTATACGGTGTAGGGATGCCTTGAGGTAAATATGCCTGTGCTATACGGAAGGAGTTTTGTCGATATATTCTGTGTCATTCGGAGCAACGATGAACACAACCACCTAACCGGTAGGCTGCACTCGTCATGCCACCGATCTGGGGTTTACCTTCAGACAGTGTACACGTGCTAGTTTAACCCACTTATTTTTACCCGAGGGGTTTACCTTCAGACAGTGTACACGTTGTGCTAGTTTAACCCACTTATTTTTACCCGGAGGACTGTAGTTCGTAAAAAGACAAACGTTGGAGAGAGGAGTTGTTGAAGAGCTCTGTATTAACGGAACGCTTCGTGATTTGATACCACTGCTCTTACCTGGGTCTGAGGGACGACCGTGAATCTCAGTCTAAGGTTCGCGTCGAAGGAGTGCCTTGACTTGGCTTGCATTTGCTCAAGGGGCTCCGAACTCACATTGTGTGTTATTTGATGCAGTTGGGTTGATCACATTGTTGGTGGACGTACGGGATCCCGCATAACTGGAAATAAACTGATGCGTTGCATAAGCACTGCCGAGGTAAGCCGTACTTACAACACGACCGTCTCACTTCCTTGCAATCACAATAATTTTGCGAAAGCTTTGTTATGAAAAAGTAACACTGTATGGGTCCACTCCAGCCATTTCAACAAACTCGACTGAAACTGAGAGCTGGAAACATCTAGTCGCGGTCTTGGGACGGGGGGGGGGAAGTATTTTAAACTACGAGACACCTGAGGCATGGAAGTAAATAGTCTGCCGTCTCTAGCCAAACCAACGAAAGGCCTTCCGGAACTCATTTTGAAAGGTGAATAAATGCTTCGTCGCCTTGGCCATTGGGTTCCTGATATCTGATTTTCCCTCATGAGTCCATGACCGCTAAGGATTAGCTTGACGACAATCAGGTTGAGAGTTCTTGTTTTGGCTTTTGACGCTTCCCATAATCATTGTAACCTGATCCACAGTTGCATACCGTTGTTCAGTTACTGAGCTTGCCACGGGGGCCGTAGCTGACGACTGTCACTTGAACTTCCAAGTTTTTGTGAGATTCATTTTATTATTTTTCATTCTTCCTTCTCCCGTGTGCAGGTCGAACACGGCGGTGAAGGGATCACACTGGAAACTTTACAAACTATCCTCCAAATGGATGCGTGAGGCCCAATACATTCAGTTTCTTGGGCCTGTAACACTTGTGCAATTGTTCTCTCCTTTAAACCATCTCTGGTACTTAACCGTCACACCTCATGTACATAGTCCGCTGTCTGGAGGCATTGGCTTCTCTTGAAGGTCACGTCGTTACCAAACGCTCCAGAGTGCTTATGCTCAATAAGGTGGCTTCCTCAACTTCGCTTCGACCCCATCTGAGCTGGTTGGAACCAGGAATCCTGTACAAAAGATTCTTCCTGTTGATCCTCTCTTTCACAACTCTGGTACCTGATTGAGCAACATCTTTTTTTTGTAATAATTCCAGATAGCGTTGTATATTCGTGTGTTTTCTACATTACCCAATCATCACCCGAGGCTGTTTGTCTTATTTTCTGCAGTGAAAGAGTGACACTGTCCATCCGACTAGCTGTTTGAGCACTGCCTGAGAAACTGCGAATAAGTAACAGGTCTTAAAAATAAAAAAAATAAAAAAATAAAAAAAATAAAGGATAATCAGTCAGCTGTAACACGCTTTCGGTGCCTAGCTTTCATGCCACGTGAAGGAAGCACGAGGGCTGGGATACTGCCAGGTTTCCCAAGCCTGGACAGGGGAAGTCTCGAGGAAGAGGTCGGGTTTGAACCACGGAATTCCGGTCAGTAAATTCGCGCTCTACCACTTAAGCCATCTCGCCCCCAGGTCTTGAGTTATTGGAATGCTCTAAGAGTGTTTTGGGGTCCTGGGGTTGCGGTTTCAGGAAAGAAAAATTGTAAGCTCTTGTGTTGATGTTTCCTGAAATCCTGGGTTTTGCAGATAATCCGGAATCCTACTTGAGCCTGCTTTTGTTGAATAGATTGTAGATTAATTCGACAAGCGAATCTACCATCGCATAGAACTATTTTGAAATATCCATTTACGTATCCACCTGGGCTTTCACGCATCATCAGATGCTCAATCCCGTCACGAAGAGACTGGATTCTACCGTGGTTCTGCGGTTTGTGCACCTCGGCGACCCATTGAGCTATACTGGAGGGTGTCCACGCGACATTCACAGGGTCTCCCATACCAGGTTAGTTCATGGGTAGAGGTCTGACGAACACAGTCCCCTGGCCCTCCTGTTTGGAGGTTGGAACATGTGTGGCGGCGTGTTCCGTAGACAATGGTAATCTACTTGCATTTCCAGCTCAACAACACCATCATCAGGTGATTTCAAGGAGGCCATTCTGTCCCTTTCCTTGTCTTCCGAAAGGTTCAAAATTTTTTGTCGCACTTTTCTTAACTGTTCTTAAATATGCGGGTGACATTTATGACGGTGATACGTATATTAAGTCGCGGCCCATTCTGTAGCTTCAGAGTCCCTTCACTAACCTAGAATACTCTACAATGTTTTATCCTGAGGAAACAAAGATGTTTTCCTCTCCAATGGATTGCGTGTGTAGCATGACCGCCAGCCATCATTCCAGCCTAGCGTTTTACTAATGCGTTTTTTCTGTAATCTGTTTTGCGCAGGCTGAAACCGTACTCATTAGGGCAAAACGGTTTTTCAATTCCTTACGGTTGTTTGAGCCTCATCTTGTTTCCAAGTTTTTTATTGAGAATCTTCATTCTCTACTCGTCCTGTCCCCAAAACACTGTTTATGATTTAGTCCCTTATGTGTTTGGACCGGAAAGTCCGTAGTTTGAACCCGATCTCTGCCTCTCGACTTCCCCTGTCTAGGCTTGGGCAACCTGAAAGTATCCCAGCCCTCGTACCTCCTTCTGATGGCATGACAGCTAGGCACCGCAAGATGTTACAGGTTGACGATTCATTTTTGCTGCAATCATTCCGAACTGCCCACAACTCTGAATACTCATTTAGAAAATATGAATGAAAACTGATAACAATGACGCCCACCCGATAGTGCGAGAATCGATTAGGGTCGCTCCTCATAGATGGCAAAGACCCTTTGGATCGTTCGTTCCTTGAATTCTTGGGGGTATTTCAAGAAAGTAGACCTTGCCAGCGGATTGTGATTGTGCCTACTAATTTTAATATCTATTAATGTGCGCATGTAGTCACTGACTCTGTCATAAAGACGGCGGTTTGTTTGTTCACTTATGGAAGCATTGTGGTTGCCAGGAGTTCATCGACAGCCGGGTTGACTTTGTCGGTGCGTGCTTGAGAAGTGGGGCATAGCAGTACTTCAGCGCGACAACTTACGAAAACTTAGTCTGTCTGATGAAATGTATGCCTGCGAAATTGATTTATCAGCATCAACGTTATTATTGGCATTTAAATAACCGATTTACAGACAACTGTTAGTTGTGCGCTATCTGAACAACCAAGGCCATAGTTTTGGGCATGGAATAATTGATGTAAAAATATATTTGTAATGTACTACTCATAAGGTTGCTGAAAATCCATCGATAGCCCACGACTGGTTTCGCCCTTCTTGGGGCTCATCAGGTAGGTGCAGTGCCCGGGTTTCCGTCAACCTTATGTTCTACTTGAAACCAAATTGCACAAAATTAGCGATTATACACTCATCTGCAAACTAATATGGTTCTTTCGAGAGCACATTCAGTTGCCTGAGAACATCATAAACGAGAGATTCAGCTGGGTTCCAGGTGAGTCTCTCGAAAAACCAAATTAGTTTGCAAATGAATGTATATTTGATATATAAATACTTTTTGACCTCGGCGGTCAGGCTATTCTACTCTTAGAACCACTACCTTTTGGAGGGCTTTCACTGTTGATCCGTTTTATCCTTTCACTGAACGCACACTGACTTGTGGGAGCGTAATTGCACTTCAAGCAATGAACTCAACTTTGTGCTCTTTTTCGGCTACTTTTACATAACAAGTATCTATTCAGATCATACTACAGACTAGATGACAGCGATAGCCTCTATCGCCCTCCTTACGCTGCCGCAGTCTTCATCACAGGTGGCCAATTGAAATACCAATTCAATCAGTTGGAATTTGCCCACAGGAGCTCCCATGATGGGCTGAGATCAAGCTAAGTTCTTTCACACAAACTGAGTTAGCTATCATGATCTGTCAACAAAGAAAAGCCTGGTGATATCACGATGAACTGAACACATTTGAT